AATGACACTTCTAGAAAACCATGTGTTGTGGTATTTGTATGACCTCAAATTTTGCACACACATTCTTTTATCTCAATAATCAATGCCTCAAAAAAAAGGTTCAATTTGAACCTAGGTATGGTCAAAATAAGTCCCTTCCAAAAACGAATCTAGACCATTCACTTTGTGAATTTCAAGATCTTAGCCTTTATAAACTCAAAATAATTTTTTATTTTTTAACATTGTTCATCTAATGATAATAAAGTCATTCAAAAAAATTGGAAATAAAAAAATCTTTCTAAGACCTAGATCTTGGCATCTCACTAAAATGAACGGCCTATGTTAATTGGCTTAAAAATATATTTTTTAGGTTGTGTTTTCAATTTTTTCTTTTTTTGTGATTGTTCATTAGCATGAAAAGGGTGTATATTTTAAAATTTGGATCAAACAAATGCCATAAGATGGTTTTTTAAAGTTGTTGCATCATATTACTATACAACAGTTGCATGAAATCATTGCCATATAAATATATATAATGGCTACTATATTAGTTAGAATAGGAGACCTAGGGTCTTTAGAGATTTAGGATTTCTAATACTAAAGGCTTTAGAATTTCAGAGCTAATAGGATTTGTAAAGTTTCTACTAATTTGTTCCAAGATGTGTGTTGTTGAGCCCATTATGGTCATCAACACACCTTGCATCTTTGAGCTCCAAATTGCTCTAGATGATGTCAAATCTTTGTGGTCCAGTATAGTGAAGGTCTGGTCGAATTTCTACTCCCGTTGGGGGGTTGTGATCTGTGATTTTCTACCTTTATGGAACCTTATCTTGCTGTTCTAGATAGAATTAGACAGTTTTGGATAAGATTTGGTAGTTTTTGATAACTTTATAGTTGTAAAGCCTTTCAGTAGAATGATCGATGGGGATTAGTTTAAAGCTTGTTAAAAGGCTACCAACCATTCCTACATGGGTCATTAGTGTCTCATTTGCAACAAGTAAAATGATATGTGCATTTTATGTGATGCACCAACTAGCCAAAAAAAATTATGCATCCTTTTCAAATGTTTTTGATGTGGCAATGAGTGAATGATCAATATAGGCAAGGCCAAGCTAAATGGAATAAGCAATTCAGAAAGGTGAACTCATAGAGCTGACAAAGTGTGTGGGTTTTGGTACCAACAATTCCCATGCAAATATCTAGAATTATCATCAATGGTTGGAAAACAACGAGATTTCAAAAATAACTTGATAGATAGAAGATCAAAGTCTTCATTATTGGGGGGGAAGCTTCACATTTACCGAGTCTACACTCTCTACCTGCACTCTCTACCTACTTGTGCACTATATGTCACTCCTCGAGATGTTGGCTACACTAATATAAGATTTTTGTGAGCAAGAATAGAGAACAGACATGGATTTGATTTTCTCAACTAGTAGTAGGACTGTGAACGAAATCTGAAAGAGACATAGGGATTACAAGGATTTTGAATAAGAATCTAGCCTCGTGCAGACAAGAGGAGGGACACTTGCAAACTTGCTATTTACAAATATAGCGTCGATAGTTCAGATACATTTTTCAGGATTTGGGAAGAGGGGTTAGGCTATCTATTCCTTATAGGGGGATTTACTAAGGAAGAAGACTACTCATGGACAATATTAGGCTCCTAGTGGGGAATACTAGAAGCACAAGCTTATGACATGATAGATGGTTAGGATCATATCACTTCAAAGATGAGTACCCCACCTGTTCGTTTTGCACTTAACTAAGATGCTTTGTTTGCAAACTATGTAGAATTCAACAGTCTATGTCCTACCTAGGTCCTTAGATTCCTCCACAAAAGACTCAATCAATCATTTTAGCACAAAAAAGGCTACTTATAAAGCCTCAAATGTTTTAGCTCTACCCAAGAAGGGATGACATGGTGATAAGGGAATTGATAGTCATAGCATGCTCTAAGTACATTTTATGTGTAAGATGATTCTCAGAAGTGGAAAAGAAAATGGGCCAATACATAGTTGATGTTGCTCAACAAAGTCCTTTTGGTGGATCAACTAAGAAATAGAGGGCTTCAAATGCCCAATGTGTCCTGCTCTATAAGAAGTGATGAAAAATGTGATTCATCTTCTCCTCCAATATAACTTACTTTCGAATATGGTCCTTTGTAACCAATCTCTTTAGTTTTGAATGGCTTCCTCCCCTATTTATTGATCTTCTTCTCATACAAATGGCTTTCCCTACCATTGCCCACGCAAGGTATATGCCATTGTGATGCCTGATCTCATTGGCGACCTTGTGGTCCTTGTGGACTAAAAGTAATAATGAGGGAAAGTATAGAATGAGACCATTTACTTTTGGTACATGGTGGTCACATTAATCTTGACCATTGGATGTGAAATTTGGTAGCTGCAATTATTCCAATGACCAAGCTCAAACTTCAAGAGAAATTTTCTCGAACTTTGTGACACATCCAAGCTATCAAATTTCACATTGGATGGTTGTAAGTAATTGTGACCACCTTGAATCAAAGATAAATGGTCTCATTGTGTATAATCCCTAATAATAAAACTTTTAGAAGTAAACGTTGTGAATGCTCCATAGATTAAAGCTACAATAATAATTGTAATTATGGCTTAGGCACGAGCAAGGAAAGAATTTCATTGTTACACTACTTGGAGTTGCACTTGGACCTCGAGGATATCATATTCACTCAATCCTATGAGAAATCAAGGCTTGTCAGTTGGGTCTCCACCCCAATAATGCTTGAACTCCAAGTTAGCTTTCAAGGTAATATAGACTCGGTTGGATATGGGGAGATGCCATGCAGGTAAGGTCTTAATTAAATATGGTCCTCCTCTATTGCCGGTCTCTTTTGTTTTGCTTGGATCCCTCCACCATTTATTGATCTTCTCGTACAATGCTCTTGCCCCCCATTGCCCATGTGGTCTCATTGGCAACCTTGTGATCCTTGTGGACCAAACGTAACAATAAAACTTTTAAAAATAAATATTGTGAATGCTCTATGGTTAAAGCCATTTAATGTGAAATTTGATAGCTTGGATGTGTCACAAATTTCGATGAAATTCCTTTTGAAGTTTGAGCTTGATCAATGGAATAATTGCAACAACCCAATTTCACATCCAATGGTCAAGATTAATGTGAACACCTTGTATCCAAAGTGAATGGTCTCATTCTATATTTTTCCTATAGATATAGACTAGTGATATGCACGTGCATTGTACGTGAAATAAATTATTAGTTATAAAAATAAATTTTTTATTTTGAAATAATGTTTTAAAAGGACTTTAGATTAAAGAGAGACCTTCTAATAGATCCATCTTCACATAATTATAGAGAGAAAAGATAGACCTACTTGCCGGTCTTATTTGATAAAAATAATTGAGAAACAATACAGTGAATACTAAAATATGAATATTTTTCTCTTATTCTAATTTAATGCATTCTGTCTAAACCAAAGCCCAAAATTTCATTATTATGTTCTTCTTTTTTTTCTTTTTAATTATATCATTCACTAAATTAGTTTTACTTATATATATATAAGTTAGATTTATTTTTTAATTAACAAGACTAAAGATGTAAAAAGGAAATACAATAAAGAAATTATCTTTCTCTTTTTCTATTTAGCAATATATATTTTACTATATAATTAACCGATAACGATACAAATTGTTTTTTTGTTTTTTATATTGTCAGTTATATTAATTTTAATATAATTACTTTTATTTTTAATTACAAAATTATATATAATAAAATATAAAAATATGTTGCATAATACATATAATAAAATCATAATAAGCAAGTAACTATTGCAATCAAAACTAATCATAATGTTGGTATTATTTAATTTTCAGCTTTTTATGGTAGTAAAAATTTTCTTCTTTTTTTATTTTATTTTGAATTTTGAAAATTATAAAAAGTACAATAAAAAAATGGAAGGAATAGAAAAAGAAAAACATAAATGAATAAAGAAAATCAGAAGAGTTTTCCTTATTTTTTATTTTTTTTGCAATTAGTAATTATAATGATACTATAATTTTTATTTTTTTATTTACTGATGTGACTTGTATTTTGAAGTAGTTAGTTCTACAAAAATAATTTCAATTATGTACCTCTATAATTTTTATTTATGGTTTATAATTCTGTTTTTTTATTCTATGTTTTGCATTTACAATGATATCATCCATTAACATAAATTGAATTATTTTTACAAATAACAAACCATAAAACAAGTTCTTTAAAATTGAAAACAAATAACATTAACGATTTCAACTATACAAATTTTTTTTACATGAGATAGAAACAAACATTTTATATCATACATTCAACCGCTCTCTACTTAGGAAAAAGTTTTTATTGAAACTTGAAAGAAAATAAAATATAATATGTGTAATTGGAAGTTATGAAAGGGAGACATTTTGAAACATGGGGGAGACAGGTAGAAATTTGTTAAGAAAGTTGTTTTATCATGAAAGAGAGGGAGTGGAGGTATGTGATAAGAGAGAAAAGGGGAGATTTATTAGAAGAGAAAAAATAGGAGAGAAATTTTAGGAAAGTTGATTTATTAAGAGAGAGAGGAGGTACGTGAGAATATTGGTAACGAGAAAGAATAGAAAAATGTGGGAGGGGGCAGGGGAGAGTTATTAGGAAAGACAAAATACTCGCTTAATATAAAAAATATCAATTCCTAAAATAAAATTTCAATGTGACATATATTGGATGTCATCTGCATATGACTATAGATATGGCTATGACTATAACTATTCAAAATGAAAACCAATATTAGAAAAATTAGAACTGGAACAGGCTTGTTAGATCGGAACTGCTTGGGTCTCGAGTCCGGTTAGGGCCGATTTTGAATGTATAGTAATCCTAGGGTATACCTCCCCTAAAATGTTGGGCCCAAAACCTGCCTGTTAGGGGTCGAACGGGCCATGTTTTTATCTAACCGGCTGGTTTTCTATTAATCAGACCGATTAGCCGATATATCGGGCTTTATTTACAAATACCGGTTATGCGACTATAACGGGCGTTATTTTGCAATGGTGGCCATTATATGTAGTAGGCACCCGTTTTTTATTGTATAATAACTTTTTTTATTCTTTCCTGCCATTTTTAGGATTATTTCATACATTATTGCTGTGAATTACTATTGTTTATAAAACAATGAATTTGGATTGAAACATTGAAAAAAAAAAAAAAAAAAAGGCAAATTTTTGTGCCTTTTGAATATTTCTACCATTCTTTCTATAATCTCTTCAATACCAAATGGTTCATGATTAAATTTAGGTGGTTTGATAGATAATCGAAGCATTTACCATATATGTATTTCAATTTGTTCAAACAAAGAAAGATTGTGGGTTGATTTTGGCCCTAAACGCTGCTGCTCAAAGAACCTATGTTCTATACAAATACGCAGATGTTTAATCAATTTATTTGTCTTTTTTTATCAAATTGAGTTATAGATTTTGATCATCAAGGCCGCATCTCCCAAATAAAATAGGTATGTTTATTTATGATTAAGTAAATTTTTTTATATGAATTTTTTCTTACACGATGTTATGAAAATTTCATATATTTGAAATTTCTGTCATTTTTTCAATTAAATAAAAAATATTGAATATTTTTTTTATGAAATTTGGTGTGTTTAAAAGATGATCGAAGCCTTTATAATGAATGTGTGTTGATTTGTTAGATTATCCGAACATCAATGGTCGTTTCTTGCTCAAAATGTTGCTCGATTTATGGGTTTTGAGAATCGATTTTTCTAAAAACAAAAATTATTTGCTTAATAAATTTTGTTTTTTTATGAATATGGGAAGTTTCTTTCTATTTTGTTTAATTCTTTATTTTTTTGATAAAAATATGTTTTTTTGATGAATATGATAAAAAAAAAAAACAGATTTTTTTAATGTTATATATTTTTTCTAACAAAAATTAAATAAGTGCATTATAATGTCGCTTGATCTTTTGCTCAAAATTTTTTCTGGATTTTTTGGTAATTATATTGTTTTTAAGTGCAAGATATAATTCTATTTGTAATAATGAAAATAGGACATTTTGTTTTTTTAAGTGCATGAAAAATTCTTGGTTGCCTTCTGTTCAATGAAACACAATGCCATTGTCTTGTATGTTTTTGGTTATTCTTAAGTTTTTGTTCCTAAAATAAAAGTAAGTAATAAGATAAGGGAAACGTTTACATAAAGCCGTGGTTCTAATGTCTAACCAATCAAATTAGAGCTTGTTTCAAAATTTTCACTAGAAGAGGTTGTTTGATGCTCAAATATCTTCAAATTGATCATCTCGACATCAAGGTGCATAGACATGAGAAAAAAAATAGATTTCAAGTTTTGGAAATAGTATGTTTTATAATGCATTTTTAGATCGTTAATTTTCAAGTACATCTATCAATCTACACT